TCACCAGGCAGTGATGTGGGCAACAGAAGGAGGTCACACCCATTTTGCAGTCTAGAAAACAGAAGTTTTTGGACCCGGGGTGCCAAGTAACTATGGATTTAGGGGAGTATTTGGAGGGGGGGGGGGTCATTGTTGTTAGAGAAGGGTTCTTGGCCAGAGTTTAACTCTAAAGTTTTTGAGGCAGAAAATTACTGTTCCCTACCAATAAGCCTTTGCTGGGCACACTTTGCCATCTTGGGTTATAGACAGGGACGGTCTGACAACTCATGGGGCCCCCGGGCAATAGGGGATCATGGGGCCCCTGTGTCCTTGTCCAAACACAAAAAAGCCTATGAAAAAGGTACCAGCGGCATCTCATGGGGCCCCCTACTGACCCCGGGCCCTCGGGCAGTGCCCAAGTTTCCAAATGGTCAGTCCGCCCCTGGTTATAGAGTACCTTGTCCCAACACTACAAAGACACATTTTATTTCTCAGGTCTGTAGTCTTTTTGGGCTTGTTCCGGTCGGCAGTAGGCTGATATTCTGATAATTCTGATTTTTGAAGAACATATAGCAATGTTATATAGGTGATGTGTAAATAGAGAATATTCCCAGCGAAGAGATATGAGATAATCCATTTCCCTACTCTTTAACTACAGTGCACTTTACTGGGACACTAACTATCATTCACCATTTACTCATGATTGCACAGAAATTGAGTCCTTAAGAGGGAAGATATTCCAGAAAATGTCACATCAAATAGCAGAATGACTCAATGAAATTTATCTGTAAATACCGTACATGTGTATACACACTAAATGGCTTCAGTACAGCAGTGCAAAGAACAAAGCTGAGGCTCAAAGTGTGGAATCCCATAACAGCCAATTAGACTTCAGTTTACTTAAATCAAATCATTTAAAGGTAAACTCTAATTAGTTACAATAGGTTATTGCACTTTGCGATACTGAAAAGGACTCTGGCGTCCAGGCATGTTGAACTCAATGAAACATTGAAAAAGATTGAGTGGAATCTTCAAGGGGCAACATTACACTTGCTGAATGCCAAATTTACATATATCTAGAAATAGATAATAGCACTTCAATAATTAACATTATAGTAAAATGATTGCAATTTAATTTTTTTATTGTACCACTGAGAATGAGATCATAAACATTTCCTGTAATTAGATGCAAATTAGGTAATATAGTCTTCATATACTGGAGAACATCTAAGATCAATGTCATATAGGGTTGTAAAGCTTCTATTTTTAATAACAAACATGTTATACTTACCTGCTCTGTACAATGTTTCTCATCTGTTGTTGCCCGCCAGCGCTATTGGCTACTCTTCTTCAGTGTCTGCCACCATAGCAAGTTGCTACTGTGTCTCTGTCCTGTGAACGCTGGGTGAAGGTTGCTAAAGACAGGCACATTGTTGGATCGAGTGAGGGCTCAGGTAAGTGTTTGGGGAGGGGGGACATGTAAACAGTGGGACATTTTGATCTTAATTGAAGGGAGTACTTTAAGATAAAAAAAGTTTAGCTCTCCTAATCTTCTTGTATTGAATTGTATTGTAACTCTACTGCCTCCCTTTACTTTGTAAAGCATACTGCAAACTGTTGGCACTATATAAATATTGTATAATAGTAATACAATAATAATGCCACAAACCTGCTCCTGCATGGCATTACTGGAAAGCATCTCCATCAGCAGGCAGGCCCGGACTGAGACAAAAAATAGGCCCGGGCACTTTGCACTGAGCAGCTAAAAGTCCGGGAACCCTTTCCTCAGAGCCCGGTGGCGGAACACAAGGACCTGGTCGCAAGAGAGACCCTGGTAATTCTGCCACTAGCGAGAGAAAGAGAAGGAAAGAGAGAGCGAGAGAAGAGAGAGAGAGAGAGAGAGAGGGGGGGGGGGGAGAGAGAGAGAAAGAAAGAAAGAAAGAAAGAAAGAAAGAAAGAAAGAAAAAGGAAAGAAAGCAAGAAGAGAAACAGGAGACAGTGTGAGAGAGAGAAAGAAAGAGAGTACAATAAAAAAAGAAAGAAAGAGAGAAAGAAAGAAAGAGACAAAAATGAGAGAAACTGGAGACAATGAGAAAGAAATAAAGAAAGAAAGAACAAAAAGGAAAGAGAAAGAGATTAGAAAAACAGGAGACAGAGAGAGAGGAAGAAAGAAAGAGAGATAAAGAAATAGAACAAGAAAGAGAAAGAAAGAAAAAAACAGGAGACAGCGAGAGAGAGAGAGAGAGAGAGAAAGAAAGAGAGAGAGATGAGGGAGGGGGCCACTGGAGGAGATGAGGGAGGGGGCCACTGGAGAAGATGAGGGAGGGGGATGCTAGAGGAGATGAGGGGGGTGCTAGAGGAGATGATGGAGGGGGGCACTGGAGGAGATGAGGGGGGCGCTGGAGGATATGAGGGAGGGGGCCGCTGGAGGAGATGAGGGAGGGGGGCGGCCGCGGGGAGCATACAGTAGCCGACCGCATGCAGGAGATTGATAGGAGAGGTGGCTGGGTGGCGCATAGAGGAACCAAGAAAATGCACGGTCCTCCATGTGCTGCCTGGCCGTCTCTCCTATCCAGGCAGCCCTGGCCCACCAGGAAAATGCAGTGTGCCCAATGGCCAGTCCGGGCCTGTCAGCAGGTATTAAACTAAGATGATCTCTTGGTTATAAAGCACAGTAGGAGACAACATTCCTATGTTTTATTATGTATGTATTGCAGGTATTTACAGGACAAGCAGTTTACGCAGCGCTTTACATAGTTTACATTCACATCAGTCCCTGCCCCCAAGGAGCTTACAATCTAAGGTCCCTAACTCACATACATACACATACTAGAGCCAATTTTGACATCAGCCAATCAACCTACCAGGATGTGTTTGAAGTGTGTGAAGAAACCAGAGTATCCGGAGGAAACCCACACAAGTTCAGGGAAACTCCATGCAGTTAGTGTCCTGGTTGGGATTTGAATTGAGGACCCTAGAGGTGCAAGGCAGAAGTGCTATGTGATATGTACAGTATGTACTGGGATGCTGGATGTACTGTGACACATATTTCCTCACTGAGACAAAGTGCATACTTGTAGCCTGTGACAAAGCTGTGTGTAGCATACAGAAAGCTTCTCATTCACTTTGATGTTGCATATTTTTATACTCGGTATGTGGACTTTGAGATGCAAGAGAGTGAGGCTATTTGTGTGTTATATAGTATACTTTTTTCACTTGTGACTGCTCTCATTATGTTGAATGAAGGGTCTGGTGCATATCACAGATGTTGTCCAGCTCTTTTATATATATGGTGGGGAGTTTATTATTCAAATACCACTTAAGTGGTAATATTACACACTAGTAGCCTGCATGGTGTTATAAATAGGGCTACAACATATATTTCTTATTCATCCATCTATGTCTATCTTTAATCTCATTTTTCATTATTCGGAGATTGGAATGTACACAAATCTATGAATCATAATACCAACGAATTTCAACAAATCCAAAATGAATTATAATGAAACAACAAATTAATTCATATTCATTTGTTTCATTCTGATCACATGATGCGATAGTTTGGATCTTTTGTTAATGTTTGTAGCATCCGAAATATCATAACGACATAACAAATTATTCAAATTTATTATAAATGATTATAAAAAATGCACTACATATGAAATGGAAACATATTGCAATAAATACAGTAAGGCATAAAAGTGAAATAAGATAATGATTCCTAATTACTGTGTTTGGGTTGGATGGAGGTGGAGCCATCAGAAGCTCACAATCATAACATAACAAATTAATCCAAAATTCATTTTGTTCCATTTGTTATATCATGATACAGAGATTCTGATGGATCCATATCCATCCAACTCAAACAGAGTAAATATGTAATCCCCCAAAATAACGAATTAACATGTTAAAACAAATATAACAAATCTTCCAAAATAATATTTGAAATACCAATCGATTCAGAACAATGAATATACAAAATGAATCCGAATATATGAAACAAGTTCCAATAAAGAATCATTCTAACATAACCAATATGATGAAACAAAATTATTAACTTAACAAATGAATCTGAAAACTAAACATTTTACCATTGTGCACATCTCTTGTTCTGAGATCTGGTATATCTTAAGACTACATATAAGCATGCAATGCCAAGCTGTAGTTTCTGAAGCAAACAAAATACCTTCTTATATAAAAAGATGTAAATGAAGCTCAGTTTTGGGCACCAATTTACAAAAATGATGTTGGGGAACCAGAACAGGAAAGAGTGCAGAGAAGGGCAACTGAACTCATAACAGGCATTGAGGCTCTCAGGTAGAGGAAAGATTGGGTGAACTGAATGTATTCTCCCTTAAGAAGAAAAGATTAAATTGTAAGGCATTGTTCACATGAGCAGCCAGGGGAAGTTTAAAACAGGCGGCTGAGCCGTGGTTTTATGCCCTTTAAGAGTAAACTGGATCATGCTTTTTTTTTTTTTTTTCCACTGGATCAGTTGTGGGCATAGAGCTCTTTTCATGAATGTTTTCTGTTAATGGTTGAACTTGTTGAACTCCTAAACAGTCTAGTGAAGTAGGCTGGTATCCTTTTTCCTAGAAATTGATGCCTAAGGTATTCCATTTAATAGCTATTCCATAATAACAAGAACCCAATGTTCAATACCTTCACCCCTGTAACTGATCCCATGTCCAAATCCCATCCTCTAAATATTAGGAATATCCAGCACCCTAAATTTTCAACCCCCCCCCCCCCCATACATCCAGGAGTAGAATTGCATATGACATGAATAAGCATGATAGATCACTATATCAGCTATGACACAGTGATCACATGTAAGCTGAGGGCTTTGCTGAAAAAGGAAAAAAACCTACAGATGATCACAGTTGCTATGAGACTGTACTGGCATCTGCAGGCTCATATGTTTAACGTTTAACACTGTTGTTGTCCAATTGCCACTGGTCATGAAAAATAATATATACAGTATCTATATATATATATATATATATATATATACACATACACTATATTGCCAAAAGTATTGGGACGCCTACCTTTACACGCACATGAACTTTAATGGCATCCCAGTCTTAGTCCGTAGGGTTCAATATTGAGTTGGCCCGCCCTTTGCAGCTATAACAGCTTCAAACTTGTGGGAAGGCTGTCCACAAGGTTTAGGAGTGTGTCTATTGGAATGTTTGACCATTCTTCCAGAAGCACATTTGTAAGGTCAGAAAAAACTAGAAAATAATGTAGCGCTAAAAAACACACAACTATAACATCAATAACATGGGACATATATATGACATAATATAGGGATCCTGTTTTTTAGCGTGAAAAAAGAAAATAAATATATAAATGTGCATGATGATACTGACAAGGTAAAGATGGAAAACAGATGTGCAACCCCTGAACACAGTGCACATAAATATATAAAGTTCAGTGATCCTGTATCAATATTCTCCTCTCAAAACAGAGTCCATGGACTGTATGTGGACCCGCACACCACCACGTGCAATCCAGAACCAGCTGAAATGGCCTCTCACCTCCTCCCTGCGACCCTGCAGGGCCACAGAGCTTTAACAGATCCCCACTGAATCAAAGTATGCTTCCTCTTGAATGGATGGCTTCTTTAGTGTATCCCCAGTATACAGCTTCCACCTCTCCTATGATATCCTCCGAGGTTTAGCTGAGCAGAGTGGACCCCAGCTCAAACCCCATTAGGATAAAGGAAGCAAAAAGACATCCTCCATAGTGTAAAACCGTTTAATATAGATGCCAGAAGGTAAATATATAGTACACTCACATTTGCCAGATGGAATACAGGCTATTTCCCATACCATGGGTGTAAGCGTGTGTCTGGAGGGTGTACCAAGATGGCGCCGCGCCGGAAGTGCGTCACCACGTGCGTCACCACGTGTTGCCGTCGACACGTTGCGTCACGTGACCCCGTGACTTCCTCAGGACTTTCTGCACTTTATTTGATCTTGGGGTATTGGATCGGATGTTGGCAGCTTCACACGCATATTTACCATTTTCTGCATAGGAGCGCAAGCAGATTCCATATAACATTTGTAAGGTCAGGCACTGATGTCAGACGAGAAGGCCTGGCTCTCAGTCTCCACTGTATTTCATCCCAAAGGTGTTCTATTTGGTTGCGGTCAGTACCCAAGTCAAGTTCCTCCACCCCAAACTCGCTCATCCATGTCTTTATGGACCTTGCTTTGTGCACTGGTGCGCAGTCCTGTCAGAACAGGAAGGGGCCATCCCCAAACTGTTCCCACAAAGTTGGGAGCATGAAATTGTCCAAAATGTCTTGGTATGCTGACGCCTTAAGAGTTCCCTTCAGTGGAACTAAAGGGCCAAGCAAAACCCCTGAAAAATAACCCCACACCATAATCCCCCCTCCACCAAACTTTACACTTGGCACAATGCAGTCAGGCAAGTACCGTTTTCCTCGCAACCGCCAAACCTAGACACATCCATCGGATTGCCAGACAGAGAAACATGATTTGTCTCTCCAAAGAGCACGTCTCCACTGTTCTAGAGTCTAGTAGCAGCGTGCTTTATACCACTGCATCTGACACTTTGCATTGCATTTGGTGATGTAAGGCTTGGATTTAGCTGCTTGGACATGGAAACCCATTCCATGAACCTCTCTATGTGCTGTTGTGCTAATCTGAAGGCCACACAAAGTTTGGAGGTCTTTAGCTATTGATTCTGCAGACAGTTGGCGACTTCTGCGCACTGTGCGCTTCAGCATGTGCTAACCCAGCTGTCATTTTATGGCCTACCACTTCATGGATGGGTTGCTGTTGCTCCCAGTTGCTTCCACTTTGGTATAATACCACTGACCGTGGAATATTTAGTAGCAAGGAAATTTCACGGATGGACTTATTGCACAGGTGGCAACCTATCACAGTACTACGCTTGAATTTATACATCTGTGGCCATAGAGGTGTTTGGAACACCTGAATCCAAAGATTTGGAGGGGTGTCCCAAGTGTCTCCTATAGGAGATGCTCCCAGTACTGTGCTTGCAGCACATTAGAAAAAAGTCATGCAAGCTGTAATTTGATGTCTTTCCCTGCCCCGTCTCTTTCAAAACCAATACAATCATATCCTTCACATTCAAAGCACAAAGCAACAAGCAATACTGTACTGTAGGCACTGAAGTATGAATATGCTCTGATTGGTTGTTTGCAGAATTGATGTTTTTTTTTTTCTATCTGTTATAAGGGTTCATGCATACATACTAAAAAAGGTTTTTTGTTAATGCCTAGCATAAGTCTCCCACTGCTTTCCCACTTTCAAAGAAATCCACAGACATGCATGGGAGGATAATGCCATTGCATAGAAGCATCAGTATTTACAAAAGTACAGCCATGTACAGGCATTCACTTGTAAAGCAGACTGTACGCAGCATGTGCAGCACCCTAGACACGGCAAAGTGCCAGGAGATTTATGCTAGGCAATAAAAAAGGTCTATTTTAGTCTGTTTGCATGAACCCTAATTTAATTTTTTTTTTCTGTCCAGGGATACATAAGTCTCTGTGCTGGACTTGAATGTGGCCTTCAGTGAATGTAAACTCTAAAACCAGGATTTTTTAACTCAACCACCCCCCCCCAAACCCCATTCCCCCCCACACACACCCTCCAAACACTTTGGGAGACAAGTTCTCACTTGTAAACAGAGAAGCCGGACTTCTTCTGTGTTTACAAGTGATAATGGTGAGCACGGAGCAGAAGGCCTGAGCCAGAGGTGGTGGAACTGAGTTCCATAAAGTTCCAGCTAAAAAAAAGCCAGGCAGCCTTGCCTTCTTTGTATTTTGTTCTCTTTTTCAAGTGCAGCCTCCTTTTGCTTCTCTTTGGTCCTCAAGATGCTGCTAGTATGGAATTTCCCCTTCTAGAATGACATTGCTGCCTAACATGGAGTCTGTGGCGTCCCAGCATGGTCATCCTAGGACACTGCAACACAGGCTTGGTTGCTGGCATGTTCATTGGCTGACATATCTGTGGCCTTTATCTGCCACAACATGAGTGCCCAGCTCTGCTGGCTGGTAGCTGTCCATGTTATTGTGCACCTGCTGTCGTGTACACAAACCAGACAGACAAGCCCTAAAAGCCCACATAGTCATTAATGGCATAGTCATATGAAAGCAAAAAAAGTAAGTTTGGTTTGCATGCAAAAAAGCCTCTATACCATGTAATGTTTATCTGACTTAACAATATAATTTTTTTACTAGGGTCTATAAAATGGAAGTTTATAAACTTCACTCAATCCACTGTAAAACATGAACCTAACATCTATATTGGTCACTCAACAAGTACTCTACATTTACTCTACCTATACACAAGGTTATTAATAAGAACTTGTAGCAGTTGTATCTACAACAGCAAGTTGGGATTTTCCCATCCATTAGTTTTGTTGCCGTTTATCAATTTTGAGGGTAATATTGTCCACTTTGTGGGAAGACAAGTGTTTCACATGATTTATGATAGTCAATACTACTTGATTTACAAGCTTTTGAGAAGTCTGGTGTTTGGGTATTGTCACACACTTAGTTTTGAGCTGGCCATAGATGGTTCATTTTTGTTTTCGTTTGGCCAGTGGGCTGAATGAAAAAAACAAAAAAAAAAAAAAAAACAACAGATTCCCCCATCCACACAAACAGGGTGGATGAAGCAATCCCCCTCTACTGGCACATTGTATTATGACAGTTAGACTCTCCGCTGTCAGAATACACTGATCTGCAACTACAGCCGATTGGCTGCTGCCGTTGATAATCAACAGAGGTTGGTCTAACAATTGACTTCTGTCGACTGGGCTCAGCCACACACAGATCAAAATTTGTCTGGTCCCTGATGAACCGGCCAAATTTTGATCTGTCTATGGCCAACTTAAAGCAAAACTTAACTGTATCCAAGCACCACAAAGTGAAAACTCTGTTTAATTCATTCCTAGATTGTAAGCTCCAAGAAGCAGGGCTCTCCTATCCCTCTTGTATTGAACTGTATTGTTGCTGTATTGTCTCCCTTTATATTGTAAAGTGCTGAGCAAACTGTTGGCGCTATATAAATCCTGTATAATAATAATAATATACAGCTTCCAGAAAGGAAAGGGTGGTGAGCTGAAGGTACACTCAGTGAGGAAAGTTACATAGTTGGTAAGGTTGAATTAAGACACCAGTCCATCCAGTTCAACCTGTGTGGGTGTGTGTTCATGTTAAAAATCATATCCCTTCATATCCATGTATACTGTGTTCACTAAGAAGCCCATCCAAGAGGTTTTTTTTTAACTATCAATACTTCTTTTAATACAGTTGAGTGCTGATTGGAGGGAAGGGACACACACTCTTCACACAGCTCACAGAAACAAAGCTGAGGCTGTTAATCACAGGTTGTGAACTGGAGGTCCCTCCCTGTCACCTTTTTACCTCTTGGTGTCAGGAACACTTTACACATGCAGATAGCAAAAGAACAAGGCAACATACAGAAATGACACCTAGTGCTCTAGATTGAGACAAATACATATTATTCAGGGATATGCTTTGATCGTATTTCATGTCTGAGATTTACAGCCACCTTAATGTTGACTGGGAGAGTTTAGTTCTCCTTTAGGATTGTTGGCAGGAGTGTATTTAGAATTTGTGCTGCCCTAAGCAAGACAAAAAAATCTTCCTCCCCTTGCCCCCGCTGCCGCCCACCAGACCCCCCACCTGCGACCTACCTGCACACCACTCCCCCTCTCCCCTTTTTCCCCAGAGAGAGACTCACTATCACAGCGGCTCTGTTCCTGGAGTTTCACGGCTGCTCCAATCAGTCTCCTCTGCTGCCCAGGAGAACCAGCGCCTATTCATCTAGGGACGGCGCTCTCATCACTTCGCTCTGCTGCCCAGGAGAACCAGTGGCCGTTCTTCTGGGGGGATGCGTTCCCTTCACTTCGCTCTGCTGCCCAGGAGAACCAGCGGCCGTTCTTCCAGGGGGAACCACTCCCTTTACTCCGCTCTGCTGCCCAGGAGAAGCAGTGGCCGTTCTTCCAGGGGGCGGTGCTCCCTTCACTCCGCTCTGCTGCCCAGGAGAACCAGCGGCCGTTCTTCTGAGGGGATGTCCTCCCTTCACTCCGCTCTGCTGCCAAGAAGAACCAGCGGCCGTTCTTCCAGGGGGCTGCGCTCCCTTCACTCCGCTCTGCTGCTCGGCCCGGTGATAAGGAGAACCACCCCCCTGAAAAGTGCCACCCAAGGCAAATACCTTGTTTGCCTCATGGCAAATATGCCCCTGATTGTTGGTTATACAATGTTAATGGTTGTGGATTTAAAATGTGGATTGTGGAGTTAACAAAAGTTCAAGGTATATTCAAATATTAAATAAAGGCCTGTATGATATTTTGTTTTATTTATTTGTTATTTTTGTATATTTTATTATATGAATATTGGGCTAGTTTGACAGTGGGCATGTATGGTTCCATGAGTCAGAGAAGTGACTTATTTCACCTCTCTTCTCCTCTTTTTCTTCTCTGTACAGCTCCATGCAGTTTTGTAATTAGAGAGGGACAGTCTAAAAGCAAACAGCTATAGCTGTTCTCTTTTCTCTCTCTTTGGAAAACCTATAATACAGTGTATCATCAGTGTCTGGGGTGCATCTAGTGTTAAATATTTATTGTAAGATACACATTTATACAAACAGTAAAAGATATATAAACTATTAGTTTAAAAACATAATGCTCTCCTTTTTTATTAAAAAAATCTAATCTAAAAGCCCCTTTCACCTACCTAAATCCATGGTCCTGTGATGCACTGGGCCCTGAATCTTCACTCTTTCTGCAGGGTGGGAAGGTCCTTTGTCAGGTGCCCTTGTCAGTGCCTATTTGACGTGGAAAATTCCTATCACTATCCTCAAAGGTCCTAAAGATTGCTTGGCACTATGTCAAAATAAGAGGGATAGTAAGTGGGGGCACAGAAAACGCCCTGGCAAAGGACATTTGAAGGCATAGTTCACTTTTTCTAAAAAAAACCCTGCCTAGGCAAATAAGGGACATCTATAGATAAAAACAAACTGTGCAGCTTTGACCAAAGGTAAATAATGCCTTTGCTTTGGGTGTAGGCCATTTATGTACCTTTCAGTATCATGGCTTTCAATATCATTTCTATGCTGATAACACCCAAATCTATCCCTCTGCCCCTCACAGTATCACTCTCCTCACCTATCACTAATTTACTGACCAACAAATCAGTCTTGATATCACACCACTTCCTCAAACTCAATCTATACAATCT